CGCGATGGCCAACGTACGCGGCCGCCTCTTAAACTATCTTGGAGGATAATTGGTTTGATGTCAAATATTGGCTAGTGCTTGGCTATCATGTTTACTTGCCAACCTCATAAAAAGTTGCTAACTGTTGGCAACTTTTGATATTGCCAATTGTTGGCTCGCCAAGTTTTGCCAATGCCAAATGTTGACATCAAACCAATTATCCTCCTAGTCATGGCGGCCGTACGTCCTCACTTACCAGTAGCAGACAAGGTGGAAGCCGAGGAAGGGCGCCGAAAGCGGCGCAACATGACACGTTGGGCAGCGTTCGCGGCATCGTAGTGCTACCGGACTGGGCCGAGGATCAGTCGAGGACCACCACGTAGATGTCCACCGCCGCTGGCGCCGGATTAGCGACCAACTCTTCGAACAGGGGTTGGCCAAGTTCGAGCGCTTGGCTCACCGCCTCGGCAGCAAGGGAAGTTGAGGGTGGTGTGTGCCGGAGTCCATGTCCAACTGTTGCTGCTAGGCGGAGGCATGCAACGGTGATCGATCAGGGCTGCCATGAACCCTGAGAGGCCTTTAGCCGCTGGAAGGACGGCGACGACAAAGACAGCGGCGATGATGACGGACCGAACGACGACGAAGGAGGTGCCGGTGGCCATGCCTAGGAGGTCATCGCCCGGTACATTGCTTAGTTTTTTTAGTTTGTTATCATTAAACCTTTGTTTAATTTCATATGTTTCGGTGTAAATATTTTAAATTTAACCAATAATACAATTCATTCAGTATGATTTTCGTCGGGTAGCGTTGAATTTCATGCTCCTCTAATTAAATCTGTTAAGACACGTTTGGTGTCGTCCTTGTGGTGAAACAGTCCTAAAAGCAAGCGACACAAGCTCATTATTGAGGATGGAAGATACTGTCCTAAAAGCAAGCGACACAAGCTCATTATTGAGGATGGAAGAGTGACCAAGGCGGATGTAGGTGCCCCGCTCCAAAACACTGTTTCTGTTTCTTCGGGGGTGAAATCTAGAGGACCGAGAGTCAGACTACAATAGATAGCGGTGGATCTGACCGGTTGATGGAGCTCCGGCGAGAGTTGAAGGAGGAGGCGGCGACCGTGCCTCTCCTTGAGCAGCAGCTACCACCTGCGCACAAGGCCGTCTTCTCCGATCCAACTCGTCCTACTAGAGGTGAGCCTGCGACAGCTCTTCTCCTCTCTCTCTTCGTCCCTTGCGCTAATGACTGCTTACGAGGTGATGTTGCTTACATTCTCCTTGTTGTATGAGATTACTAGTACTACTGTATTTTCTTTCCCCTCTCATCCTCTGAATTTCATCTCACCCGCGGCAACACGATTTAGTCAACCGTTTCTCTCATCTCCAAGCTTTCCTACATCGGTGAGCTCAAGATTAATCCTGGGTAGCTAGCTCTCCCGTACCTGCGCCCGTTTCCCCGGACTCAAGCTGTTGCGGCTGATTTCTGTATTTTCCTTTTTCTTTTTGGCTGTAAATAACATGCATTATTCCTTGATTAATTGTAGTACTCTGTGTGTGTGTGTTTTTAGATGTTTCGATCCAAGGCAGAGGAGGCAGGGAGATTGGGGCACCTATCTCTGCTTCCCTGGGAGCCATGAGACCCCTTGTCCGTAAGCTGGACATGCTGCTGTTAGCTCCTCCTAATGGATGCTCCAGCTCCACCAGGGTCAAGGACGGAATGCGCCTCCTCAAAGATGATGTTGAGAAGATGAGCTTGTACCTTGATAAACTGTTAGAGGTAGAGGACCCTCCCCCGGCGGCAAATTGCTGGATGAATGAGGCGCGTGACCTGTCTTACGACATGGAGGATTACATGGACAGCTTAATATTTGATAGGCCTGAAGATGCCTCCATTGTCCCCAACAACATCAAGACAACCAGATCCCGCTTCAAATTCTTCGGTCATGCCAAGACTCCCAAGACTAAGACTAAGGTTGATGTCATTGTGGAAACACTGTCTGAGTTGAGGAAGTATGTCCAAGAGGCAATTGAACGGCACCACGTGTACAATCTCCATTCTTGCAGCACCTTGAGGCATAGGTTTGTGTCCCTTGGTCCTATGCTTCCAGCTCCAATGCAGTACGAAGACATAGTAATTGATGGGCGGATGAACGGATTCATCAACTCACTGGCTAATGATGGCGATCAGCAGCTCAAGGTGCTATCTGTTCTCGGACATGCATGTCTCGGTAAAACTACGCTTGCCAGAGTGCTGTACAAAAGACTTGGGAAGCAATACCATTGTCGTGCTTTCATTCGGGTGTCCAAGAAGCCTGATACGAAGAGAATTTTCCGTGACATGCTAGCACAACTCCAGCATCAGCACTCCCCGCAAGACTGTAAGGAGGCTGACCTCATTGACAATATCAAGAAATATCTACAAGATAAAAGGTATAGTACTGTTATTCTTCAAACAGATTAACCTAATACTCTGCTCTTCCATAAATAAATCCTAATATGACGCCTCTACTTTGGCATGCAGGTATCTAATTATTATTGACGATTTATGGGCAACATCAGTATGGGATATTATTAATCATGCTTTCCCAAAGGGCAGTCAAGGCAGCAGAATAGTAACAATTACACAGATCGAAGACATTGCATTAACATGTTGCTCTTACCAGTCAGAACATGTTTTTCAGATGGAACCTCTGGATGATGATCACTCAAGAAAGCTGTTCTTTAACACACTCTTTGGCTCTGAAAATGATTGCCCTGAAGAACTGAAAGAAGTTTCAAACAAAATCGTTGAAATATGCGATGGTTTGCCGCTAGCCACAATTAGCATAGCTAGTCTTTTAGCAAGCCAGCCTGTCATATCTACTGATATATTGACGTATATCCATCAGTCATTAAGCTCATGTTTCTCAGCAAATTCTATTTCAGAAAGAACGAGACAAGTATTGAGTCTGAGCTACAATAACCTTCCTCATTATTTGAAGACATGCCTACTCTATCTTAGCATGTATCAAGAGGGCCACACATTCTGCAAGGATGATTTGCTCAAGCAATGGGTGGCTGAAGGTTTGATCGATACAACAGAAGGGCAAGACATCAAGGAAGTTGCAGAAAGCTATCTTGGTCAACTTATTGGTAGAAGATTTATCCAGCCGATATGTATCAACTACAACAATGAGGTGTTGTCTTGTGAAGTCCATGACGTGGTATATGATCTTATTGCAAACAAGTCTGCAGAAGAGAATTTCATTGTGGCAATAGACTACAGTTGTCGAAAGAATGTGGCACTTTATCAAAAGGTCCGTCGACTGTCTCTCCAACTCGGTGGTGTAAAATATGCTGAGATACCATCAAACATCAGTAAGGCACAAGTACGGTCACTTGGATTTTTTGGATTATTGGGGTGTATGCCTTGCATTGGAGAGTTCAAGCTTCTTCGTGTTCTAAACCTTCAACTCTCCGGTCATCGTCATCGTCATGGCGACCAAGACCCGGCCATAGAACTCACTAGGATATCAGAGTTGTTCCATCTGAGATATCTGAAGATTATATGTGATGTCTGCATAAAACTACCAAACCGTTTGAGAGGGCTGCAATGTTTGGAAACACTGGATGTTATGGATACAAGGGGCCTTTATGTTCCATGGGATGTTACATATCTCCCACACTTGTGGCACCTCAGTCTTCCCGTTGACACAAATCTTCTGGATTGGTCCATCAATCTCGGGAGCCTTGGCATGCCGAACTACCTTCAGGATCTTTATATTTCTACACCGCCTTCTTCCGACCATCTGGAGGGAAGTATGGAAGATGCGGAGCGAATCCTGGAAGCTCTGTCTTCTTTGATCGGAGGACATAGCAACCTGAAAACTATGGTAGTGGCTCACAAATCCTCGGTTAGGTATGGCCGCGCTTCGAAAGCAATCATTTACTGGAATAACATGGCACCTCTCCCCAATCTCCGGAGATTTGAATGCTCGCCACACAACGGCATCATATTTCACAGAATCCCAAGGTGGATGGAACAACTTGGCAACCTATGCATTCTAAAGATTGCAGTGAGTGAACTGCTGATATATGATGTTGGTATCCTTGGAGGTTTGCCCGCCCTCACTGCTCTGTCGTTGTATGTCGAGACATCACCCGATGACAAGATCATCTTTGGCAAGGCGGGGTTCTTAGTTCTAAAATACTTCAAGTTGAGGTTCACAAGTGGTATAGCTTGGTTAAAATTTGAGGCAGATGCAATGTGTAATCTTTTGAAGCTCAAGCTAATTTTCAACGCCATCCCGCAAATGGAGCAATATGAAAATGGTATTATCAGCATCGAGCATATGCCAAGCCTTCGAAAAATCTCTGTAAAATTTTGGGGTGGAGCTGCTGGTCAAGAATATGGCTTGGTCAATAATCATCAATGCAATCCTAGAATCAACGAGCAATCATCGGTTTATAGTTCCAATGGCGATGAAAGTAGAAAACAGAAACAACAACCATATGAGATTCTGGAGGAAGAACGTGATGAATACGATAAGAAAGTGAAGAGTCCAGCTGATCAAAGGTACTACGTTACTACCAATGTTCCTTTTGAAAACAAGGAAATATGCTCTCCTTTACTTTGACTTGGATTCTTTGATTGACCTGATTTAATTCTTACGTTGTGACCAAGCTAAGTGGTTGTTGTAATCAGGAATTCAGGTTTAATGGAGTCCTCTTTGCGACCGCATGTTCCAGGTATATTTTTTGTATCAACTGTTTTCTTTTACATCTTTTAGCTTTTTTTTAGAGAAAATACATATGCCCGACTTTATAAATAAAGCCACCCAGCACGGTTCGAAAGGGATCACCACACAGTATGGAACGGCACTGCCACAACAGGGCCACGAACTAAAGTAATGATACATGGCACAGGGCCAAATAAAGCACGCAGACCCACAACCTACTAGCAGAAAACTAAGCAGCCAGCGCAGACAATGGAGGAGAACCACAGAGCAGCCTTAGGTCGGGGTAGCACGCTCCAACGCGATGAGCGAAGACGCACAACCATCGCCTCGCGATCTTCCACCTTTATAGTCAATAATTTCCACTGCTGAAGAAAAGAGATCGCACGAAGAAAACCAGCTAAAAAAGAAATGGTCGGTTCTCCTCGAGCGTCCGCTCTCCACTCGACCCCTTCTCTCACATCGCAACCACCCCGTATGCCACTGCCCCCTTCCACCCCTTGCCGCCGCCCCCATCCGATGGCCCCCTTCACCAGCTTCCTAGACCTCGTTAGATCTGGAAGGCCGCCAAGAAGGCCGACGCGGAGGACGCGTAGGGGCTCACGCTGATGCACTTCTCCGCGCCCCAACCCTCGAGCGGATTGCATTGGGTACCCCACTTGTCGGCCTGTATAGGCTGACAGGGAGGCGTGGAAGGTGGGCGACTTCCACACCTCCCTCATCGACGCAGTAAAATTTAGTTGTATTTATTTGGAGAGTGTGACGTTCTACTTTGTCCAGAGCACCAGTAATTGCTGAAAAGTCTCTCTTCCTGCAATATTTGCTTTTAGTTAGTCTACAAACGGAAGGACTGCAATTATCAGCTTCTTATGCAAGTCTAAACACAAATTATGAATGTTCTTTCAGTTAAGATGATAGCCACAACAGGTATTTACCTGTAGAGTTGCATTTACTTGATTTAATTACAATGTACGTTTGCAAATTGCTGCAGGGAAGTCTCACTTCAGTTCACTAATGACAGCTCCTAATACTTACACAGTCCATGTCTCCAAGGAGACCCACAAGATTGAGGCCTGGTGTGAATCAGATGAATCTTCGGCTAGGCAATTGCTAGAAGAGGAGGATTCACTGCTAGTTACCGCTTCAAAGGATTTTGCTGGTAATAATATGGTGCTGCCACTACCAATCTCCAAGCATCTTTTGCATTGTTTGAGGTGGATTCATTAGCTGTACTAACTAATGCTCAGTTGCTCACGCTTACTACATGTTCGTGGTGCATTACTTTTAGGTAGCGTATTCTTGGAACCATCATCACTGGTTGTTGAGTATCGACCACCTGCCAATAATGTAGCTCAGGTTTCCTGCGATTCTACTCTGTTGTTTCCTTTGGGTTCATTGGGATCATCAGACCCAGATGTCTGCACTGAATAATGAACGGCAGCCCAGAATGATAAGTTGAGGATAATTTGTATATGCAGGTGGCAACAGAAGATATTGTCGACCCAGATAATATGTCATATGAGGTATGTTGTTTTGCTTTTGCGGAATGGACGATACTTTGATGGTTTTCAGAGAACAACAATTTTCTTAACACATATTGTCAATGTGGTTTACTTATACTGTTTGCTCCCATAAGTAATTCTAGGTATACTACTTCGTTCCCACGATTTGACATAAAAAAATTGGACATAAATAGACACACTTTGATTGACGTCTTGTATCACACGGAAATCTCATTTCAGAGCAAATTTTTACTATTATTTGTGTATTTTGTAGCAACTGCAAGCAAAGGATCAAGCAGTAGGAACTCAATCCAGAGGATTATCTGATGAGCTGACATGCTACCTGGTGCCTTTTAGGAACAATTGTAACTTCTTCTCCAGCAAAAAGAACAACGAGGAGTACGGGTTAGTTTTACTCTGAGAATTGCTCATCATTTTGTAACCCTAAGACAAACATATAACATGTGAAATCTCCATGCAGATGTGCGATCTGTAAATCAAACTTTAAAAGCCAACAGAAGTTGATACGATTGCCGTGCAGCCATTCTTACCATGCAGATTGCATAACTCGATGGCTTAAGATTAACAAGGTAGTAGTTTTTTTTCTTCTTCTCTAAATACTGCTCAATTCTATTTTGATATGCTACAAATAAAATATAAGTATTTTTACTTCTATGAATAGATGTCGAATGCTAGTATAAACCTGCTATATGTCTCAAGAAACGAAATACCCAGATACCAAATGTGCTATTTCAGTACACACATTGTCTGAACTCAATTTGATGCATACAGATTGTTGATATCTTGGCATACAATCTTATATTGTTTGATATTAGGAGGATTGTCTGATTTTTTTTATATGTACCTTTATTTTCATTCAGTCATGCCCAGTGTGCAATGAGGAGGTATTCGGTTAACTTGCGATGTTTGTAGCGATGCTATGGCCTTGTGGTCGCATCATGATGACGGAAGATCTTGCTCTCATATCGTCTATTAAGCTACAAGACACTCTTGTGCTTCCATCTTTCATACCAGCATAGCAAAATAGCGTGTATTACAAACGATAATGAAGTTCCTTTGTTGCCAATCTCATGGTGGTGGCAAGCGTCTTCCGATTTGTCTTTAAGAATTGAAAATTGTTTTATAAACCTGCTATATGTCTCAAGGAACGCAATACCCAGATACCATTGTGCTATTTCAGTACACACATTGTCTGAACTCCATTTGATGCATACAAATTGTTTATGTCTTGGTGTACAATCCTATATTGTCTGATATTAGGAGGATTTTCTAATATTCTGATATGTACTTTTGTTTTCATTCGGGCATGCCCAGTCTGTAATGAGGAGGTATTTGGCTAACTTGCGATGTTTGTGGCGATGCTATGGCCTCACTGTTGAATTATGATAACTACGGATGGAGCCAAGATTCTAACACAGTGGGTAGTTTCGCCATCTATGCAGAAGTAAATAGTTGCTAGACCAAGTATGAAATGGAAGATAAACTCTGCAAATTGTAGGAACATATAACATACTGTCCATACAGATAGATGATCCTCCAGCTGAATGAATGACCATGGTAAAAGTTCCGTGAAATTCATAGACTTCAAAGTCTACTAGGACCAAATACATATTTTGTCCAGCAACATACATTACACGGTGAGCTCTGTAACGGCAGAAAGCCCACTGAATTGACATGCATGAGAACAAACTCATGTATTATTGGTAGCAAAAGTACAGAGAGGACGAAAAGCACTTCATCATTTTCAGGAGACAGATCCCATAGCTCTAGCAATCTATCTGGTACAGCGAGCACCATCTGAGGGATACAATCCATCATTAGACACTAGTAGAAAAAGGGCCTATTGTCCCCGTTCGTAAGGCCCATTTGTCCCGGTTTTTGAACCGGGACTAAAGGGTCGTTACTAATGCCCTTGGCCTTTAGTCCCGGTTATTACACAAAGTGGGACAGATGGGCCTCCACGTGGCCAGTGCAGCGAGCCCAAGCAGGAGGGCCTTTAGTCCCGGTTGGTGGCACCAACCGGGACCAATAGGCATCCACGCGTCAGCTGTTCAGGGGTTAGGGTTTTTTTTTTCTGAAGGGGGGGGGGGATTTGGGAGTTTTGTATGGTTAATTAGGGTGTTTCATATATTGTGTTAGGTAGCTAATTAATTAATAGAGAGAAGTGTCCTCTCTTATCTCCGTGCTTGGTCGACGCTACGTACTATACGTGGCCCTCGACACGCTAGCTATATAGTAAGCAAATGAAGGAAACCATTAAGTACAGAAGTTCGTCATGCATACCGAGAGAAGTGATATCGACCTCTCCTTCTCCAAGAGATTGCGCGAACAACAAAGTTTCGTATATCTATCCGATGCTACTGGCTACATATATACAATATTAAGATCTCTTACAATATAATCTCCCCTAATTATATATGAAGTCAGCTTCAACATGGTATTCTCCGGCTTTATTGATGACGTGGTCAAGAAAGAATCCCGCCAATTCCTCTTGAATTGCTTTCATGCGATCTTGTGGTAGGAGTTCATTCCGCATCTGCCACATCTAATTTGAAGAAGGGGGTCAATACATATATATGAATGAAACTCAACAGAAATGATGGTGTAATAAAATGAAATTGTGAATATTATTGCTTACGCACCTCATATTGTCTTTTAGAGTAGCCCCGCTTATCTTTGCAAGTCACGTTGTAGATGAACTCGCACACGTAGTATCCACAGTAATCATTCCATTGTTCCTGCCAAAAGCACTTTACGAGAAATAGAGGTCAATCAAACTGATAATGAAGTATTATAAATGGCATTGATGAAAGTAGCTAGAATCAACGGGAGATGCATGGAACTAGCTAGCTAGTAGTACTTACTTTTGAGTATTTATATCGCAGCTCATTCGGCAGTCCCGGAGCTTCTGCGGTGAACTTTTTCCAAACCCTGCAAGACAAAGAAAATAATTATTACTTGAGATATCAGGAAATGAACAAAAAGTTGCCGATATGGTGCGATAATGATCGATTGAACTTACTTGTTGAGAATTTTAGTCATGTCCGCATAGGTCTCGGGATCTTTTCGTCTCGAGTCTAAGACGGTTACTAGTCCCTGCTCAAGCTTAATCTCCAGGAGAATATAGTGGAAGCTGCGCACGCATGCATAACTCATCAATTACATTACTATAACCTCGCTCGAGTAATAAGGGAAACCGAATATGCACGAGACAGTAACACTCACTTGAAGTTGTAAGGAAAGAGTATGGTATCTTTGTTTTGATTTATTACCAATGATTTGAGCAAGTTGGCCTCGGCTTCTTTGGGGCTCTTTTTAACCGTAAATTCATCTATGAGATTTGGGTTAATGAACCCAATATCATACATTTCTGCTTTTCTGCACTCGACGATTTTCAATCTGCATAATATAGTGAGGATAATTATAAATACATGCAATGAAAGAGCTGAGCTATATATAGAGACTTAATGACAAAAGTAGTACTTATAGACAGTAGCAAGTGACCGTTAATTTATCGAGGGCCTTTTGATTGAAAAACTAGAAGAAATCCTCAAATGGAACAGACAACACATCAATTCCAACGAGGTCGTGCTCCTCTTTAACTCTCAGATACAAAGTATTCGCCCCCCAGACTCTCTGCAGGTTTTCATGTACCAATCATGGAATCTTCGCATCATCGTTGTTAGAGATTTTTCATCTTTGACGAAAGGCTTCTCGTAATGGTATTTGTGTTTGTCCACCTCCAAGAAATCATAATGTACATCGTCGGTCAGGTAATCATCAAGATTGGTATAACCGGGCACCATCCTCTGATCATTAGCGATGATATTGCTAGACACCTTGAGCGGGGGGCACGATTGGTTCGCTTGTTCGCCGAGCTGGGCAATTTTTTTCCCAGCTCGTCGTTCTGCTAACCTTCGATCACTGAGAGTACTTCCCGACCGCTCCGCTTCCTTATATGCCTTTTCAGTAATGCGCTCATAGTTGTTTTTCGGTGGAGAAGGTGGTGGTTTCTTCAAGGCATCGATAGTGCGCTTTACTTTCACCGGATCTATCTTCTCCTCCGGAGGTGGATGTTTCTTTGCTTTCACCCCTTCAAAGAAATCCTTCACTTTTTTATCCACGATCTCCGCGGTTTCCTCCACGGTCCTCTCATATGGTAAATTCTCTAGAGGCTTGAGAGATGGACCGAATATGTATTGCCTCCCGCCTCTGGCTGTACTGCTAGACGCCGGAGTAGACGGAGCGGTTGCGGCTGTCTTCTTTCGTGCTTGCTTACGAGGTGGAGCAGAAGGAGTACGACGCGCCGGAGCAGCGGCGGGTCTCTTTCGCCCTTGCTGGCGAGGCGGAGAAGGACGAGGCTGGCTGCTCGGGCGCGCCGGCACAGGCGGAGAAGGAGGCGGAGTGCCGCCACGCATCGGAGAAGGAGGCAGAGTGCCCTGATCACTCGCCGGAGGAGGAGGCGGAGGAGGAGGCGGAGTGCCCTGACTCGCCGGAGGAGGAGGAGGAGGCGGAGGCGTCCAGTTCGGAAGGTTGATGAGCTCCTTCCGCCATAGGCATGGAGTCTTCAGAGAAGAACCCAGCCGAGTCTCCCCTTCACCCGTAGGGTGGTCAAGCTCGAGGTCCTCAAATCCGTCTGTTATTTCATCCACCATCACCCTAGCATATCCTTCTAGAATCGGCCGGCAGTGATAGGTTGCGCCAGGTTCAGGAGGTGCAACAGAGCCAACAGCCGCTTGACTTTCAATTTCATCCATTGCGTCATAAGGTGGAAATGTTGAGACTCCGTGATAGCATCCACGAGGTAGCTAGCAGGAGCCGTGAAGACAGGCTCCAGGTGAAGCAGCTCGGTGGAAGCCACGCGGCTTCTCTGCTGAGATGGCGGGGTAGCTTCGGCAGGTCACTTGCTGCGATCTGCTTCTCGTTCCTCTATTGCTTGTACCCTTGCATGCAACACCTGCAGTTGGGTCTGTTGCACTTTCTTCCTCCTCTCCTGGCATTTGTAACCGCCTGCGTCCGGAAACCCAACCTTCCACAGAAGGGAGCCTCGCGTGCCTCGTGTCCGTCCAGGGTGCTCAGGATTCCTGAGGGCCATTGTGAGCTTGTCGTTCTCTTTGTCTGGAATGAATGTCCCTTGCTGCGCTGCATCGATATAGTGCTGAAGCTTCGTGATGGGTATTCTCAGTTGCTCGTTCGTCCAAATGCACTTCCCTGATACAGGGTCCAAGGTTCCGCCAACCCCGAAGAACCAAGTACGGCAACGGTCTGGCCTATTCAATGTCTCTGGTTCGACCCCTTTATCAACCAGGACATTCTCAGCCTTGGCCCACAACGGCCGGGCTTTGAGGTAGCCACCTGACCCTGTGCGATGGTGAAGCTTCTTCTTCGAAGCATTTTTCTTGTTTGTCGCTGACATCTTCTTACTCTTGTCCGATGTCTTGTGGGCCACAAATGCGGGCCAGTGATCTCTGATCTTCTCATACCGGCCGATGAATTCTGGTGTCTTTTCTTTGTCGACAAACGATGTTTTCAGCTCATTCTTCCACCTCCTGAATAGTTCTGCCATCTTCTTAAGAGCATGAGACTTGACCAATTGCTCTTTAACTGGCTTCTCCGGATCCTCCTCTGGCGGTAGGGTGAAATTTGCCTTCAGCGCGGTCCAAAGATCCTCTTTCTGCATATCGTCGACATAAGACACCTCAGGGTCTTCCTTCTTAGGCTTAAACCATTGGTGGATGCTGATCGGGATCTTGTCCCTAACAAGAACCCCGCACTGAGCAGCAAATGCTTCATTTGTCCGGATGGGTTCAATCGGCATGCCATCGCGCGCGATTGCTGTGATCTCAAACCTTTCATCCGAGCGCAAATTTTTCTTCGGGCCTCGTCTCTTTACCGA